AATCTGGAAGTCAACTTACTGAGTTATCACACTAGCATAAGATGGATAAATAAAAAGTCACTATTTGTAGATTATTTACGTGAATAGCATGGAAATGTAATAAATAGAAAAATCAAAATGGAAATATTTGTAAAAGATTGGCAAACTGTAAGTGGATGGTACCTTATTAAAGCACCATTGTGAAGATTTTTGCCTTGCAAATGACAATTAACTGATTGAATGGCCTGAAACAGTGGTATTGCAGTTTTTCTGCTTGCAGAAATAAAAATGTCTGCTTGTTGATTCAGAAGATTTGAACCAAGAGAAAGTTCATGCCAAGGCTTTGTTATAAAACATTAAAATTTTATGTTGAAATGATAGAATTGTATGTTCCAGTAACAAATGTCTGCTGAGCTATAGCTTCTGTTGGTGAGGAATTTTGTCAAGACTGGAAATTCTTACTTGAATCAGAAACCAGAAGTGCCGTTTTAGTTAACGTATGGTCTTGATTTTGTATTTTGGAGTTTACATTGGTGTTGTTTATATTCCTGATTTTTATATTCTCTTTAAAGTTGGTAGCTAGCTCAAAAAAGTAAGTTTAATGATTTGGTTTAACTGATAAATGATGGGTTGTTCACCCTTTTCCCAGTTAATGTACTCTATACTCATTTGAAATCTTCTAAGAGAAAAAGTGCATACAATTAAAACCAAGTTACCAAATTATTAAGTTTATTTTCTTACAAATACTGTGGCATAGTGAGACATATATTTTTTCATAAGTCAAGTTTACAGTAGTTTGAATTAAATAAATGATTTTTTATGGACATCTTGAGCATGAAATCAATAAAGACCTTTTTTTAAAATATTTCCTGTGAATATCTGCATGTTTGTCATTCAATCTGGTGAAGAGAAAACCAACCAAAATACATCCCAAAACCTTTCTCAGCCAAGAATGCAGATGGTCTTTAGCATCTCTTCAAGATGAGGTTTACAGTGTCAACTGAAAAGTAGTTTAGAGAAGTGAGCTGGCATTGGGCACCTTGAGTTAGGCAGACCACATCTTCTCTTAGAGTAAAGCAAAATTATTGAAAATATTTTAATGGAAGTATCCTGATCTACTAGCACTTAATCTTGCCCTGTGTGTACAATGTCATTAAACAGTAACTGTACAGTGGTCTAGCAGTTGGTAAGAAAATGTTCTTCCTCTTACTTCTGGCAAATAGCTCCATCTTAAATATTTTCTTAGAGATATCCCTGTTTTACCATGAGAAATGTGTCATAGAATCATAGAATCGTTTAGGTTGGAAAAGACTTTAAGATCATCGAGTCCAACTGTATGTCCAGACAACATTTGAGTATTTGTTGCTTCTCTGGAGGCTCTTTCATGCCTTTATAGTTCATTACTGTTTACTTGCTTAAGATTGAGACTGGTTTAAAATTTCTGTTAACAATATTCCCCTGTCTCCAAAACTATTCTTTTATTCAGATACATTGTAGGTCTGAAGCTGGAGAGCCTTAGGAACAAAAATGCAGCAAGTAGGGGCTCTGAAACAGGTCATTTAAGATTTTAAAATAATGCCAAGGAATGTAACAGTGTAACAGGTAAGGAGCACATTTCCTCTTGAGTAGTGCTTTTTTGTTAAAGGTTCTTGGAGGATGATATTTTATTTAAAAATAGCTATAGCAATTTTAGCTTAGAAGAATTTGGAAAATATAAAAATTACTAGAAATAGTTGAGACTGCTGAGAAAGAATCAGAGGAGATAATATTAGTGAGTATCCTCTGAGGGTAAGAAGTGCTGTTTTCCCTATTGGACATGATGTCTGAAAGAAAAAAGAAAGGTGGACAGAACAGGTCTTTATCAGATTTTGTTGTACATTTACCGTGATGGACACTAAGTAGGGACTACTTGGGAGTTTCCAACTAATAGGGGAAATGGTAGCTGTCTATCTAAGAAAAAAGGCAAAGGAGTAGTGTTATTTGAAGCTCTTCAGTGCCCTAATGTAACAAGCAAACAAGGCATTTTTAGCGTTTGCAAGAGGTCTCATGGCAGACCAAAGGTTTCCTGGAAAAAGACGATAGTATCGCACAAAGGAGCACAGGAATTCCACCTGCTGACTTACAATGAAAGGAAGAAGTTGATGCTGAATCTTAAACAACCTTTGGGCTAGTGCTAGTACATTAAATATACCTGAAGAGATTGCGAGAGGAGAAGTAACATGGAAAGATAACTTACAGTGGTAGTGAAAGAAAGAGAGAAAAATGTTCCCCTGTGTTGAGACCAGTGTCTCTGCTAGATGGAGCATTACTTTGGATCATGTCCAAAAAGCATTAATATTATTTAAGAATAAAATTTCCCACCGACAGACATCACATCTGACTGGTGATGTTTGCATGCTGAGGGCTGTGCCAGCCCAAGAGCCTGAAGGAGCTCATTCAGAGTAAGGCAGCCTGACCCTTCCACTTGAGCAAGGCTGGGCAGCTGAACAGTGACTTATCATCTGTAAGACATTTTAACATATTTCCTGATCAAATTTATAACTATTATCTGTCTAAAAGCAATGTTCTTGCCATCTGCAGGATTAGCCAAATGATTTTGTGTGTAAAAATCTTTATCATTTATCATATGCTGGATGTTTCAGGAGAGAATCCAAAAAATTCACCTATAACCAAGACAGACATTGACCCTACAATGAAAGTACATTGCCATTACGTAGGTAGCCTAAGAAATCCTGCCTCAGCATGGTATGTCTTAGTAAATGGTGTTCTTTGAATCTGAACTTGGTTACAGTTTTATGGCACTTTATGAACTTTTAGGGTTCTTAATGTTGCTTTACCTTCCAGTCATGGGTGAATGTGATATTTTAGACACAGCTCGGGGGATATAAGGGGACTGCCTAGAAAGCTGAACCAACCACAACAAGCTGTCTCCAGGATTTTTTCTGCATGAGAGACATTTGTGGCAGCTTCAAATGTGCATATTTTTTTATTGCTTATAGGTGAATATTAATCTTCGGGATTTCCCCTTTCAGATCAGCCTTTGATTTGTTTCCCATGGCAGAAACAAGAATTTCCTTGTGGGTCATATTTCACGGTGTTTGTGTTTATAGGTGGACTATAAGAAGGCAGTCACAATGCAGGGCCAGGACACGCCGTGTTCTGCTGCAGGAGGCAACACAGGGAACCTGGAAATACCTAAAGGTGTATTTCTCTAAGACCTTCTACACCATAAAGACATTTTGCCTGTAAGTATTAGCACAGTATGTTTTCCTTATCTAGGTATTATTTTTTTTGAAGTTTTATAATAGCCTACATTTTAATCATTTGCAGCATTTTTTTGCATTTTGACTGAAGTACCTCATTGCATTTCAAAAGGTTGAATGCAATCAAATCTCTTAATGCCAGGCATACAAAAACCTGAGGGGGCGTAATGATGGAATTCTGAAATAGATGTAACCTGTTTAAAATGTTGCTTTCCATTGAAGAGAGAAGACAATTAAACACAACAATTAAAAACTTTTTCCTAAAATGCAGAGTGAGATGGCACAACTGTGATCTCACGGTTTTTTTTCTCTTCCCACCTGCAAATCTTGACTTTTACTGAAACTTAGAGGATACTTTTATCCTGTCATAGGGTCTTAGAACATTGTTTTGCAAGAATTGCATCTTTTGCAAATCTGTTGACTGTCAGTCACGTTGACAAGAATATTACCTTGCCTTTCATTGCAACCCCAGGTGTGTCCCCCTGCTATTGACACTAACAATTTGACTTTGCATGCAGTCATTTTCAGTTTTGGAAATTGCTTTTTTGTCTTTTTTTTTTTTTGTCACGCAATAGACAAAAACCCTAGCAGTAAATTTTATAACAGTCTGTCACAGCATTTGTACAACAAATCTTTCTCCCAAAAAGGCAAAATCTCAAAGATTTCCCTAAAAAAACCCCAAAAAAACCAACAACAAGTAAAACCACCCAGAAATACAGGCAGAAATGCTCTGCAGAGATCTCCAGGGTCTAAGCTTGCAGTGGGTCATTCTCATTTACAGCATGGTATTGCCTGGAACTGGAGGTGTGGAAGTCTACAGCTTTAGTTGTGTGTCAGAGGGAAAATTTTGTGTGTAACCCACCCCATGTCAGGTGAACGAGGCCGGAAAATAACCAACCACTTCTGACAACCACCCCTGACCCTACCATGTTTATTTCTGGTGCCGTGGAGTAAATCACTGAAGAAACAGAAGCGAAGGAAACCCTTAAATCTCTCAGTACAGCCAGGGAGCTCAGCAAAGAACTAGAGAAGAGCACTTGCAGTCCTTCACATTTTCCCAGAAGAGGCTCTGCAGCTTCAGGTGGCACACATGTTGGCGACTCTGTAGCCCCGTTGGAGCTAACAGACAACTTCAAGGCAAATTATTAAAAGGAAAGGTTTTAATTTTGAAGGAATGAGAGCTTTGGGGTAAGGCAAAGGGAAACTTTTCAGAAGTTTTGTACATGATGTTACAAACAGACATGGTATTACAAATTGGAAATTTAAGTATGAGAGAAACTACATCTGATTTTAAATAAATGAGAAAGCAATTGTGAGATAATAAAAAACTGTCCAGTGTGCAAAACTCACTCTCACCACTTCCTAGGCAGATCATCTCTTTGACTTATATAAATTCATAATTTTATAATTGCATCACAATAGAATAAAATATATTATAATGTTATAGTATATAATGTATCATTTACTTTATAATATGAAATATTATGATGCATAATAGTATGCTTAAATGAGTAATAATTATAATTATTTATATAGTTGCTTATAGATTTTTCTATGTTTATTTTTATATAGTTTAATCATCACTATGAAAATAAACACTTGTGAGATATTTGTTATTTTCTCTTGCGACCATTCATACAGTGAAATGCTGCTCAGC